CCTAAGGGGAAAAGTGATATCTTTGTCCCCTCGATGATTTGGTGTTGACTTATGTATCGGGCCCGATCAGGACTGAATTGATGTCTTCGATTAATTTCTTTGTCATTACAAATCATAAATCGGGAAAAAAACTGTTGGACAATGAGAATGATTTTGTTCCATGTCATTTGTTCACATGATATCTTGCAAAACAGAGGATTATATGATCCCTTATCTTAGGACACGCAACTGACTAGGTCAGAGTTCAATAAAAAGCTATGAGAGCTACAATTGCTTATCAATTTTTGAAGTCATACTTGTAGTTATAGTTATTAGACTTATCCAAGTGGGAGACTGTTGGATTAGATGTCTAAGCCCATAACTATAATTGGTATGTACTTGAATTGATAGTGGCATGATCCTTTTGGGTTGCCTTCACACGTGCAACTAGACATGATGACTAATTGAGGAAAAGGAAGAATTTATTAATTGATTAATAAATTTGAATAAATGATTTATTAATATGTTATGGAAATAATATATTAATTAGTAACCATATTATTAATTAGTATTTAATCATAAATTAATTTGGAATTAATTTTGGGATTAAAGGAATTAATTAAAAGTGCATGTACTAAAAGTGCAATTCTTCAATAGTTGAGCAAAAGGGTCTAGAACCTTCCTAGGGGAAGGGTGGACGGTTTTTAGTATGTATATGTAAGATTATTCTAGAGTTTCTAGAATATCTTATCATATATGGATAATCAAAGGAGGTGGATAATTACCATATTTGAGATTAGGGTTATCCATAGCATCCTTGGTGCACTATAAATAGAACCCTTAAGGCTATGATTTCCGGACACTCTTTGATAGAAGCAATAGTCGAAAATTTGATCTCCTCATCTCTCATATCATTCTCTTGCATTGTGTGTTTGTGAGCCATTAGAGGTGTTACACTTGTGACACTAAGTTCTCAAGCTTCAAGATCTACAAGGGAATCATTGTTATTACAATATAGCAATCAAGGTATGTAACCTAACCCTAGTTTTATATGAATTTTGAAAATAGTAGACACTTCCTAGGGTTTTTTTTGTGTTCAAGTTTGCATGTTCAATTAGAGAAAACCTAGATACAAAGCATTAGGGTTGCATGCACACATAGGAATTGTTGTTTTGCTAAAGACCCATCATATATATCCTAAAAGGCAGTACGGTTATGGGAACGGTGGCTATCTCCCAATCCTTGAATGAAGGTGATGACAAGACAGAGTTGTGGCATCGTAGGTTGGGGCACGCATGTCAGTTCTAAGTAAACAAGGGCTTCTTAGTGGAGAGTCTACTAGAAAGATAAAGTTTTGTGAATCTTATGTTAAGTGAAAGCATGGAAAAGTGAAGTTTGGTACCATTGAAGTCTCAAGGAGGATGCTCACTCATATTTGTGGGGTCCTACACCAGTGAAGTCTCAAGGAGGATGCTCATAATTTGTGACATTCATTGATGAATATTCAAGGAATGTTTGGTTGTACTTTCTGAAGACCAAAGATGAGGTGTTTGGAAGTTCAGGGAGTAGAAGACCGTGGTTGAGAAAAGGACTGGAAAACAGGTCAAGTCTCTAAGGGCTGACAATGGGTTGGAATTTTGCAATGCTCCACTTGATAATTTTTGCAAGGCAGAAGGTATAGTGAGGCACTACACTGTACGACACACACCACCACAAAATGGAGTGGCATAATGGATTAACCAAACACTCATGCATCATTCAAGGTGCATGCGGATATTTGCTAACTTATCTAAGCAATTCTTGCACAAAGTAGTTAACACTGCTTGCTATCTGGTGAACAGATCACCATCAACTGCAATAGACTTGAAGACTCCTCAAGAGGTATGGTCCGGGAAACCCTTTGACTATTCTGTTTTACGTATATTTGGATGCCCCGCATATGCTCATGTGAATGATGGTAAACTTGAGCCAAGGGCAATGAAGTGCATATTTCTAGGATATGCGACATGAGTAAAAGGTTATCGACTGTGGTGTATAAAAGAAGGAAGAACTCCTAAATTTATCATGACCAGAGATGTGACCTTTGATGAATCTGCCATGGGTAACCATGGAGGAGGTGATACAAGTCAAGCAGGGAACAAAGATCAAGGTGCTAGCCAGAAGGTGGGGTTTTCAACTCAAACTCAATACAGAGTTCTGATAAGTGACAAAGAGCAAGGCGGCAGTGAACAGCCTAGACAAGATGAAACGCAAGAGCAACCCATGGGATTTTCGTCCAGTGGTGCTGATGTCGGGAAGGATGATGGGTCTGAATTTATAGCAAAGAGAAGATCGAAGAGGATCATTCAACAACCTGACAGATATGTGGGATGTGTGAATTCAGGTGAACTTGACTCCATTGCTTTTGCTTTAGCAACTAGAGAAGACATTGACACTGAGGAGCCTCAATCGTATAAAGATGTTGTGGCGAGTAAAGAAGCAAATGACTAGTTGATGGCCATGAATGAAGAAATGCAATCTTTAGAGAAAACTGAAACGTGGGATCTTGTTCCATACCAAAGGGAGCAAAGGCAGTGGGAAGCAAATGGATCTTTAAGAAGAAGAAAGGGATACAAGGAGTTGAACTAGCAAGGTTCAAGGTAAGGTTGGTGACGAAAGGGTTTTCTTAGAAAGAAGGAATTGATTATCATGAGGTGTTTTCACCGGTCGTGAAGCACAAGACAATTCGGGTTCTTTTGGCCATGGTGAGTGCATTGGATCTGGAGCTTGAGCAGCTCGATGTGAAAACTGCATTTCTTCATGGGAATTTAGAATAGAAGTTTATATGTCCCTGCCAGAAGGGTTCCTTGATTCTAAGAAGGATCATGTATGTTTGCTGAAGAAATTCATGTATGGGTTGAAGCAGTCTCCAAGACAATGGTACAAGAGATTTGATTCATTCATGATCTCGAATGGCTACACTTGGAACCGGTGTTACAATTGTGTTTACTCAAAGGAATTGACACCAGATTCCTACATATATCTATTGTTATATGTTGATCATATGCTCATCGCAGCTAAAGACATGGCTGGAATAAATGACTTGAAGGCGACCCTAAAGAATGAGTTTGAGATGAAGGATTTGGGAGCAACAAAGAAGCAACTGGGGATGGAGATTCAAAGAGACAGAAGATTAGTACGGCTATGTATTTCTCAACAAAAGTACATTGAGAAAGTTTTGCAGTCCTTCAATTGTGAGCAGTCCAAGCCAATTGGAACTCCTTTGGCGTCTCACTTTAAACTTGGTCTAAGCACTTTATCCACTACTAATGAAGAAAGGAAGTACATGAGCAGGGTTCCATACTCAAGTGTTGGTGGAAGTCTCATGTATGCTATGGTATGTACCAGACCTGATATGGCTCATGTAGTTAGTGTGGTTAGCAGGTTTATGAGTAATCCAGGGAAGACTCATTAGGAAGCTGTAAAGTGGATCTTGCGATACTTGAAGGGAACGACAGATGTTTGCTTGGTGTATGGAACAAATACGAAGAGTGACTTGGTGGGATATGTTGACTCTGATTATGGTGGTGACTTGTTGAAGCGCAGGTCACGGACGTGCTGCATATTCACTTTCTTCGGATGTGCCATCAGTTGGAAGTCAAGGTTACAAGATACAGTTGCTTTGTCCACAACTGAATCCGAGTACATGTCCATGACGAAAAGGGATAAAGGAGGAGATATGGTTGTAAGGGCTTATTCAGAGTCTTAGTCTGAAGGTGGAGAAGCATGTCTTGTATTGTGATAATCAAAGTGCTTTGAGTCTTGAAAAGAACCCTCCGTATCATGAGAAGACGAAGCACATCGATGTCAGGTTGAATTTCATTCAAGATATTCTGGAAGGAGACAAGTTTTCAATACTGAAGATTGATACCAAGGTCAACCCAACAGATATGTTGACAAAGCCGTTGCCCACGGAGAAGTTTAAGTTTTGCTTGGACTTGGTTGATGTTCGCAAGAGGTAGGTCGGTTACCTAGCATTTGTGACTTAAGAAAAAACCCAACCTATTATCCTTTTATACGATGAGTCACATGGCAACCCCTCAGTTGGTATCCTATTAGTAGTGAAAGTTGTCGAGGAGGATTATAAAATAGTTTTATTGTATAAAACAGAAAATAAATGTTTTTTCGCGCATCAAATGATAATATTTTGGATTTTTCTGATGTCAAAAATGTTAAGTAACCGGCTTTCAAGGGTTTGTCAGTTACGAAGCATTATTTCAGACATGATCATCAAATAAAATGGTTTTATCATACACAAAAATAACATAATAGTTTTTCGAACATTGGAGGATAAAATATTGGGGTTTTCTACGGTTTTCCCTTATTTTTAGTCATAATACTTGTTACGCGTGATATTAGAAAAAAAGAATATTTTTTAATTTTATTTTAAGGTTTAGTGACTGGTAACGACTCAATTGGTAGCATACTTAACATAAGATGACTAAATGATGCTATTAGTAACAAGGACTTTTCGTGTAGCTTTATAATGAGAATCGCCTATAGAAACAACTGAACTATGCTTAATATAAGTTAAATAAACAAATAAGTTAACTAACATATTTCTAGGATTTTATGAATAACAAAGATAAGTTTTCCAAAAAGACAATATTTAGGTAAGGTTGTAACAACTAACACGCATGCGATCCATCTCTACAAAAAAGTCAATTGTTGATTAGCTAATCACCTAAGACGTCTGTCTTGACAACAGGTGGTGATGGTGAGCTTTCAATTGTTAAACATATATAGTGAATCAATGTGACGTGAACCCTAATACTGTCATATCTAGAAAATGTCAAACCAACCTCTTTTGTGTGTCCAGGAATATGAAATTGTATGTCTGACTATGAGTAAGTAATATTAAATATGTATGTTTGACTATGAATAAGCAATAAAAATATCAAAATGCTTTCACCCATGACCCTAGTGAATATATGTATATGATTGATCATACATTTGGAAATACCTTCCAAACTCTAGTCCTATTTCACATCTCTAAGAACTACTTTCTTTCCGGTATGGATGCTGAATCCTCCTCCTCCATAGAGTTGCCACAACAGTGTCGTCAGCTTACCATTTCTGAGATTCAATTGGCAACCCGAAACTTTGATGAGTCATTGGTAATTGGGCATGGGGGGTTCGGCATAGTTTACAAAGGAACCATCACAAATGGGGCAACTCATTTCGTTGCTGCCATCAAACGGTTGGATTCAACTTCTAATCAAGGAGCATTAGAGTTTTGGGCTGAAGTTGAGATTCTCACTAAGTTAAGGCACTGTCATTTAGTGCCTTTGATTGGTTATTGCAATGATGGGCAAGAAATGATCCTTGTTTACAAATACATGCCCCATGGAAGCCTTGAAGATCATCTTCACAAGTTTCAGACTAATTTACCTTGGGTGCAACGACTCAAAATATGTTTAGGGGTTGCTCGTGGGTTAGATTACCTTCACACTGGTACGGGTATAAAGCATGGAGTTATACATCGCGATGTGAAGAGCTCTAATATATTGTTAGATGAAAGCTGGAATGCTAAAATTTCAGATTTTGGTTTGTCCAAACTAGGTCCAATAAATCAACCTTCCACTTATGTCAACACTGTTGTGAAAGGAACTTTTGGATACCTAGATCCAGACTACTTCACAACGGGTAGGCTAACGAGAAAGTCTGATGTGTATGCCTTTGGGGTAGTTTTATTTGAAGTCCTTAGTGGAAAGCGGGCAGTGGATAAAAGTCTTGATGAGGAACATTGGGGTTTAGTAAGATGGGCTCAAGAATCTATCAAAGAAGATAAGCTTGAGCAAAGGTTGATTCTAATATAAGGGAGGGAATCATGCCTAAAAGTTTAAAGGAGTTTGCACGGATTGCAGATTGGTGTTTGGAGAGCAATCCCAAGCAACGGCCTACAATGGCTGAGGTTGTGGTCTCTCTTGAGTCTGTACTAGCCTTACAAGAGAAAGTCGGCAACAAATTGCACCCTTCAGGCATGAGAATATTTGGTAATAAGGGGCTAATGTCTCCATTTCGGTCCAACGGGGAAAAATCTGGTATTATGTTCTTTTTCTATTTTACCTTACCTGTGGATTTTTGCATATATACATGTATTGAAGAACATTTGTAAAATCAGTATGTGTTCACTAATTAAGGAAGCATATATAGAGAAGTATAATGATGTTCATTTGAATTCCCACATCATAAGTTTACTGTTGAACAGAAGATCTTTCACTTAGTAGATAACAACGATACATTATGATTTTCATACTTAACACCAAATGGTCACCCATTTTCAATCTAAACTTCTTTTCCTTAATGGAAACACTTACCATCGTTTCCCTATAAGAGACCTTTGATTCATCGAGGGGAAGGCATCTTAATTTGGGTTTCCCTGGGGTGAGAAAACCCGTACTTTTTATCAATTTCCACATGTCATGTCCCTCAATATTGGTGACAACCCTTATTTCTGCTGGTACGAACCTTAGGAATGCTGCATTTTAGTGCATTAGATATGTTTGTATGTGTTACTTTCACATTCATATGGGTTATTTGTAAAAACTCAGAACAGACTTGTTCTATTGAAATATATATTCTGTGATATCATACAATACTTCTAAAACCTTTTATTTGTGGTTGGGAGTAAAAATAAAAAATCCTTGTCGTTATAACATCAAACTCTTGTGCAGCTTGCCCCCTAAGCATAACACACTTGGTTCGTGGGTGGAATACTTACAGAAACTATAATGAAGGTTTGAGTTTGAAACTATCAACATTGCAAGTGAAAATCACATTAACAAAAGTAATATGTTTGTTTCCCACTGTATAGGAAAATCTAAGTTGAAGTCTGAGATGATTTCTCATCAAGAGAAGCTTGTCAACCAATTAAAGCAAACGTATGATGACAGCCAACTTGTCAAAATTGCAAAGGGACAGAAGCATATAAAAGTACTCGAAGAGTCACTTGGGTTGGTATCTAAGAAACTGACCGAAGAAAAGAACCGCATTGTCAAGGACAGGACACAGCAGTACCATGAGAAAAACATGGAAGATGACGCTTTATAAACTATTTCTATCATTCTATGGTCTCACCATAAAACTTATTGGATAACCATATTTTATTATTATTGTAATTATCTTGTTGCATTAGATTAGGACTCTAGTTTCCTTAATTTACCCAATCCTCTTGTATATATAGGAACGTTGAGAATGTATTTTGGCATATAATTAACTCTTTCATGATATTAGATTCTGTCTAGATCCTTGACCTAATGACCTATAATTTTTTCTTCTCTCACATGGCTTTCTTCCATCAACCAACTGCCGATCTCCGCCTTCCCAACACCTCCATTTTGTCTCTTCTCTCCTACCTCCCATGGCCACCAACAAATTCCACCTCGGCGGTCACTATCTCTAATATTAAGAACTTTATACCCATCACCCTTGAGATGGAGAAAAGTCAATATACATCATGGGCTGCCTTTTTTAAAAAAACATTTCCGAGCATTTCAAGTGATAGATCATACCCCCCCCCCCCCCTCCCCTCCTACAACCGCCACCGAGCCCACTGAAGCTTGGTCCCGTCTTGATGCCATAATCCTTCAATGGATCTATGTCACGATTTCTAATGACATTTCATACTATTCTTGCTCAGGGAGGAGCATGATACATTCAAAAAAAACTAATTATTGCAATTATTTTCTAATGAATGTACTAATTAAATTTAAAACTAATAAATATAACACCCTATTTTGAGGATTTGTAGTAGTAAACTAAGTGTAGTTATTCTTTAAAAAAAGTTGGTTGTATGATAATAACTCTTGGATATGTTGGTAAAATGCTATTATGTGCATATATAAGCCAAAAAACAGTCGTGTTATGAGAAACACATCTCGTGTAATGTTGTCTAGTGTTTATAAGCCTGATTTAAAGGTAAGTCGGTCATTCGTCCTTTAAAAGCACATTCAACACCTTTAAAAGGCCCTCTACGCATGCGAGAACGTCCCTAAAGGGGTCTTGAACATCAACTTGAAGGAATTTTAGGAGAATCAAAGGATAATTGCAATAACCTCCATCTTTACTTAAATCCAAGGTAGAGTTTCTTAGTCTCTTGATAATCTTTGTTTTCATAGTTGAACTAGGGAAAGGTTTATAAACTCTAAATCCCATATAATCTTAAATAGTGAAATTATTGATGAGGTAGAAGAGGTAGAGTGTTGAATGCTTGTTTTCTACCATCAAATTTCCATGTAGAAATATGAAATCTTATTCTTGCTAGTCCGGTGTTTTGAATTAATTTGTTGTTAGAAGAAGAAAAAATGAAACGTGAAATCTTTGTTATAATGAGATTGGAAATGATGAATGAAACCCTAACTTGGGGTAAGATGTCAAGAAATTGGAAATAAGCTTGTATGCTTATAAATTGGTGTAAATTAAAGTTGTAATGGTAAAAGTTGAAAGAGATCAACAAGTAGTTCAAGCTTAAATCATGTAAGAGTTGAAATGGTGGTAAGGTTGGTTAGGGAACCTCATGATACTAAATATGCGTTGAGAAGCTTGTTGTATTGTTTTGTTTTGAGACTTAACCATAATAGATTGTTTTGACAACTTCAGAGACAAAGGTTGATAAGGAACTATAGAATTGGGAACTCGTCCGTAAGTAAAGATCTAAGGAGAGTAACCATGCTTCCCCTTTGATAAATTTGAAGAATTTGATAATCTGATAACTTATATTCAACCAACCCAAAAACGGGTATATAAAGGATTATACCAACACTTATCTTCTGGTCAAAACAGAAGGCTAAAAGCTATGGAAATACAAAATAGATAAATCCTAGAAAATGTAATAGGATAAGAAAGACAAATAAAAATAAATCTTTTACTCCCCCTCAAGTTGGAGCATGAAGATCTCGAATGCCTAACTTGCCAAGTAAGAGACGTAAGCGATCTTTTCCCAAAGCCTTGGTAAAAAGAGCTGCAATTTGATCCTTTGTGTCAAAATTATAAGGCTTAATCTCTCCTGGTTCCACTCTTTCTCAAACGAAATAACAATCCATCTCGATATGTTGTCCTTTCATGAAAAATCGGGTTGTTAGCTATATGCCTCGCAGCTTGATTATCACAAAATAAAGCTGTCGGACCATGTTGTGGTGCCTGTAATAGACCTAATAACCAATGCATCGAAAAAATCTCGCTAACGATGGTCGCCATTGCTCGATATTCAGCTTCAACTGAAGACCGAGACACTACTGACTACTTCTTTGTCTTCCAAGAAACCGGTGCTCCTCCCAAAAGCAACAAGAATCCAGTTCGTGATCATCGCGCATACGTACAGCCAAGCCAATCTGCATCATAGTATGCAACGATATTTAGACCACCATCTTTAGGAATAAAAATTCCTTGTCCCGGTGTCGTTTTGAGGTATCTCAACATCTTTATGGATGCATCCATATGACTTTCTCTAGGATGAGAGACAAATTGGCTGAGCATATTAACAGAGTAAGCGATATATGGTCGTGTTGCCTGTAGGTGTCTAAGCCAATAACTGAATTAGTACATGCTTGAATTCTTATCAAAGTCCTTTTGGGTTGCCCTCAAACCTAGTAATTGTAAATGATGAATTTGAGAGAGAAAGAGAGAGAGAGAGAGAGAGAGAGAGAGAGAGAGAGCTTGATTTATTGGTTTATTATATGATTAATAAATAGAAATAAATGAATATCTTAATATGTTATGGAAATAATATATTAATTAGAAATAGTAATATTTAATTAAGAATTAATCACAAAGTAATTAGAATTAATTTTAGGATTAATTGTATTAATTAAAAGTGCAATGGTTAAAGTGAAATTGTTGAATATTTGTGTTGGATTAATGTCTAAGTCCATAACTATAATTGGTAAGACTTGATCCGACCCGGCATGGTCCATTTG